TGGTTATGTTCGTGACGTAGAAAAGAGAGAGACTGGATCAGTGCACCCACCACCCTTACTGGGGAAACAACTTGAAATCCATCACCTACTAATGTGGGATCAGCTTCAAATATGAAGTTGTTATCACATTAAATTGGGATGCCCTTAGACCTATTCCAAATTCAAGCTGGTATCATTTAGCGAGCCTAACCTCTTCTAAACTGTATTTTCTGATTGGAACAAGAGGGATGAGGTGGATGAGCATTTGTAATTTTTTTTTCTTTAACTGAGAAACTCCCTTTACAGTCTTAAAAGATTGTCACATCCTTGCCCTTGTAACTAATAATGAAACAGAGGAATGGGTGTAGTATATTTAGTTGATTATCAAAACAGATACTTAGCTGAATTCAAACAGAATTTTCTACACTTTTGACTCAATTTCAGTTGTTAATGTACTTTGCATAAAACTTGTGTAAAATTTTGAATTTTGCTTGATTGCCCACTTAAAAATATAAATAAATTCTGTGGAAAAAAATGTTTATAGCCAACAGTTTCTCCTAGACTAGGACAGTATTTTTCCTTTCTTTTTAAATGTGTCCTCAAAAGACAAGAGGCAAACGTGAGACCAAAAAAAATTGTATTTCTAATAATAAATGTGAAAAAAGATTTATTATAAACTCCTCAACTGATTTCCTAATAGCTAATTTTTCTTAATAGTTATAACTTAAGTTACAATCGTCAGGGTTTGTTGATTATCAGTGATTCCATAGCATAATTTTCTTCTCATTATGCTAAACTTTAAAGCTTCTAAAGTTTGCCCAGTCTTTAAGCTCATGACTTATTCTTTAAAGTGGCCATTGACTTTGTCCACCATTTTCCCCAGGTTCAAATGTCTAAGGGCTAATTGCCAATTATATTCAAATTCTTTCTTCACCATTTTCCAACATATATTTCTTCATCTTACTCCTATCTTTTAAAAAAGGATATAAGTTAATTTGCCCTAATAGTGATATAATGATAAGTGTAACTTGTTTACTGAATTGTAGTCAGTAGCATAGAATGATGTGTTCCTTTTAAATCATAGTCTATACGTGAAGCATGTGCAGGTCTTTCTGTCAGTACAGGTTATATGTTCCCTGATGGGCGAGAATTATGCTTTGTACTCACTGTTCATCTTCATGGTAATTAGCCCAACACACCGTAAGGGCTCAGTAAATACATGGGAAATGAAAAATGTCCATCTTCCATCACCTCCAAACTTTATTCTCTTGAGTATGATTTGAAGTGTATGTGGAGGAAATGATATTTCTAGTGTAGTGGTTTGAAAGCCTGGCTAGATGTTAGGTTCACCTGAGGGAAAAAACCCGACGTGATTCTCAGCTGCACCCAGACCAATGTCCATCTCTGGGTGAGAGGCTGACCCTGAGGATTTTTTTTTTTAAAGATCCTCAAGTGATTCTCATGTGGAGCCAGATTTGAGCAGCACTGTTCCAGACTAGAGCAGTGTTTCACATCCTTGGCTTCAGATTGGAATCACCTGGAAAATGAAAAGGGTATTGGTTCCCTGGCCTGCAACCCTGAAATTCTGATTCATCTGGGGTTCACTGTAAACATGGGGCGCTTTCAAAGCTCCCCAGCTGATCCTAGTGCTTCGCCAAGACCGAGAAACATGAGAGGCATCAGAATCGTCTAGGGGGCTTATCAAAACAGACAGCTGGACCCAACCCAAGGCTTTCTGACTCCGTAGGTGTAGGGTGGGGCCCACGGACCTGAATTTTCTACATGGTTCCAGGCCCACACTTTGAGAATCATTCATCTCTTTTTTTTTTAAACTTTAAATTATTTATGAACTCCCCCAGGATCGTGTTAAAAATGCAGATTTCAATCCAGTAGGTCTGCGATAAGACTCAAAAGTGTGCATTTCAACAAGCTTCCATGTGATGCCAAGGCTGCTGGCCCTTGGACCACAAAGCAAGAACAGGAAGGGTTTTTCAGAAACCTACAGTAAAGACTGTGTAAGTCAATACTCAGAGACCACTGGTGTTTGCAATGGCTGATAGGATTATTGTGTTGATCTAGGGGAGGGAGTTGTGGGGGCAAGTTTGGAGGCTGTTTTAGATTAAGCAGCATCCATCTGGAAGATTCTCGTATTTGAAAATCTGTTGTCTCCTACTAATTTCTTTCAAAGAGATGACAAATGTCTTACAACCAGAAATACTGAAAGGATAAATGACCTCTGTTGTTCAGTAAATGAGTAAATGTCAAATTACCATTACACAGCCAAGAAAACACAGCTTTTTAATATACCATTTTGTTGCAAGCGTCTACACCCAGGTGAATCAGACAGGGACTTAAGCAGTGTCTTGTATTTGGGACAATTCAAAAGTAATTCTAAGAAGTTCACAATGTCACAGTAAAAATGCCAACCTTTAAAAAAAAAACTTGAAAAGCTGATTATTAAGTTCACATAAAAAACCCAGCAAGAATCATAAAGAAAGCTCTGGAAATTAAGAGTCATGAGAGAGTCTAGCCTTACTGGATAGTATTGTATATTTTAAGCCTCAATAATTAAGTAGTAGGGTAATATTTAATGCATATACAGACAGGAAAATGGAAGAACAGAATAGAAAGTCTAGAAATAGAGTAATAATTAGTGTGAGAATATATGATCTGATATTATGATTTGATAAAGGCAGGACCTCAAATCAATGAGGATATGATGAGTGATTCAATAAAACAACTGGCTAGACATTTGGGGGGAGTTAAATCCATATCTCATATCATATAACAAGATACATTCCAAATAGATGAAATATTTAATTTTTAGAAATTAAACCAGAAAAAAACAGGAAAAATTTCCTGTATCCTTGAAATTATTCAAAATCCAGAATCTACAAAAGACTGATAAATTTGACTACAGCTGACCCTTGAATAACATGGGTTTGATTTGGACAGGCCCACTTATTTACAGATTTTTAAAAATAAATACATATAATGGTACTATATGGTCTTCAGCTGATTGAATTCATAGATGCAGAACTGCAGATTTGGAACGCCAACAATAAAGTGACACATGGATTTTCAACTGCATAGAGGGTCAGCACCCCTCACCCCCACTTTGTTCAAGGGTCAACTATACATAAATATCAAAAGCTTCTACAAGAAAAAAAGCATAAGTCAAAATATAAAGAACTAGAAAAAAATTCTAATTCATAACACAGACAAAACACTGATAGCACTAATATATAAAGAGCTCTTAAAAATCAATGAGAAAAAGACCAATATCCTAATATAAAAACTCACAGATGATATGAATATATCATTCACAGAAAAGTTCATGCATATTGTTATTAAACATATAAAAAGATATCCAACCTTGGTCATTATAAGAGAAATGCAAATTAATACTACATTGGGATTCTATTTTTCATCTATAAGTATGCCAACAAAATGCCCAAAGTTTGAGGAACCTATGGGCAAAAATGTCCAGTGAAGCTGGTGAGAGAATACATTGGAATAACTATTATGGGTGACAGTTTGTTAATATCTACTTAAAACACAGATGCTACATACACTCCTTGAGAAAATATAATGCATAATGGCCAAGAGTATAGGCTTTGGAGCCAGGCTGATTGACACTGCCACCTGCAAGCTGTCTGACCTTGGACAGGTTGCTTAACCTCTCTGTGCTTCAGTTTCCTCATCTTTAAAATGGAGATAATAATAGTACCTTCCTCATTGGATTATTAAGATTAAATGAGTTAATATATGTAGAGTGCTTAAATGAATGCCTGGCTTATAGCAAACACTATATAAGTGTGAGTTATTATTATTTTTTAAAATTTGACCCAACACCTTCCACTCCCAGGAATGTATCTTAGTTATATGTGTACAGCTTGGAAATAACCCTTGAACAAAGTCATCCATTTCATCCCTATTTATACTAGCAAAAGATGAGAAAGTACCCAGCTGTCTACCATTTGGGGAATCTTAAATTATAGTACATCCATATAACAGAGTACACTGTAGCTGTTAAAAAAAAAATGAGATGTTCCCCATGAACCATTATGGACAACCTATCAGAATTTGTTATTACTAAGACAGAAGTAAAGGTGTAGAAAAGTACATACGGTACAAAAAAAAAAGTGGGGAGGAATAAAAAATTAACGTATCGTATTTTCTTGGTATACATAAAAAACTGAAAGGATGAACAGGTGGTTCACTGTAGAGGGGAAACAGGGTAGGAGCACAGGTTTTCACTTTATACCTTTTCATATCTCTTTGGTTTTGAACCATGCCTATGTATTTACAATATACAGCATTTTGTAGGAATTCTTGTAACTTTACACCCCAATTGCTCAGTCACCTAAGTTGCACTTTTGCTTGTATATAATGGCTCAGAGTAGAACCACTGATTTTTAAATTCATTTGCTCCACAATCTTTTCACCATTTTTCATAGATCTGTTAATCTTACATTAAAGCGCACTGGAAAATCATCTTTGAATACATTATAAGCTCTTAGTCACTTGTGTGGGGTAAGGGACTGATATAAAAGCCATCACACACTAGAGGGCACCTAAGTATCACAGTTGGCCAATAAATTCACTGGTGAATATTCAGTGCTTGCTTTTATTCGTGATTTGTTTAGTAGCCAGAATTATTTGTCTGAAACTCACTGGAATGTGAGTCAATTCATGATGTGCCATTAAAGGAAATTGTCTCTTGGAAAATGAGCTACCTTTCAACTTGATTCTAATGTGACTTTGAAGACTGATGAAGGTGAAATTTAGTATGGGCTCTGAAAAGAGCAGTAAGTCCTTTATACATGTTATTCTGTTCTTGTAGTTTCTTAGAAAGAAATCAACAGATGCTTTGCAATGTGAATATAGAAAGGTATTCGATCACCTGTAGACTTCAAGGCAATATAAAGCCCTACAGAGAATCCACTGCCCTTCTGAGGATCAGCACGTCTTTAAGGCTGTTGCTGAGCCAGCAGATCAGCCAACAAGTATTTGTTGAGTACCAACTATATGCTGGGTCGTCTCCTCTGTGCTAGGGAGGTAACAGAAAATAAGACAAGCAGAGCCTAGTCTTGAAGGAAATCTCATCTAGTCATGTGACAGGCAGAAAACACATAACAACATAATTTCAGGCACAGAGAAACACCTCCAGGGAGACTAAATCAACTTCACTTAAAGTAACGAGGAGGATGTCACTGGGATGTTTAGCTAGGTGCTTGGGAAGGGCTCTCGGAGACGAGAATGGGTGAGAAAGAGACTACGTAAGCTCTGGGGGAAGGGCGTGGGTTGGCCCCAGCCTCGGTAGCCCCGTTCTCGCCTGGGGGCAACACAATATAGTGGGAAGAAAGATGAAACCAAAACAAAGCACTGTTTGGGGAGTCAGCCAGTCATGGATTAAAGCCTGGCTCTTCAGTGTACTGGGTGGTACCGCTAACTAGATGTCTGAGCAACTGACTGTTTAAGCCTTGTCTTCTGCATCTATTATACGGGGTCAGTTTCTGCCTGGGAGGGTTACTGGAAGAATTTATACAAAGCTCCTGACATGTCGCAGTGAAGGGAAAGTGAAGGGAAGCTGTCATTCATTGATCTTTTTTCAATTTTGCCCTCTGTAATCACAAGAGCACTTACTTATGACTGTATAATTTAAATTGAACTTTATGGTTTTTCAATATAAGACATTTCTTAAGGCGTCTTTCTTGTGTGCCCTACTCAGCACTTACACTGCTTAACTACCAATTCGTATGATCTGCAGAGTGACACTTCATTAATTTCACATTACTGAGGAGGGATCCGTGAAACGAAAACTTTCCCCAAAACCGAAGCACGCCCTTTCGAAAAACCAGGTCTTTAATGTAACTAATCTTGTCTAAGGATAGCTTTCCAAAATGTGCCGGGTGTACCTGATTAATTCTGAGCTGTCCTGCCCAGGCCATACTGCACTCTTCTGCCAAAAAGCTGAGAGCCATGGTGGTGGGAACCATCCTTTGCCTTTTTACCAAATGCCCCCCAAATGCTACAACTCTGTGGTCACTTTTGCTGCTGTCAGTGTATCTGCTTTTCCGGAGCTCCTGGCCAGGTGGGAAGCAGACCTGTCAACAGTCAGGACCATGTGATAACTGCTGTCCCCGAGACATGTGCGGCCCCAGAGGAACCCAGAAGAAAAAGGGCGCAAGCCTGTCGACAGAAGTCTGAGGGGGCGTCACAGAAGAGGCAGCGGCAGTCACTGAACTGATTCTTTAAAGAGAAGTAGTAGGTAACAGGTGGGGTTGCCACAAAGGTGCTGCAGGCAGAGGAGGCACGTGGGATGCCCTGAGGACCAGAAAGGACACTGTTTAAGCAGAGACCTGCAGGTATAGTAGGAACCACCAGGGTGCTTGGTTAGTTAATCCAATAAAGCGGTTAAAGCAGATTTGACAAATGATGACCTTATATGTTTCATTCTCACTTAAAGTATATAAATACACACTAATGCACTAACCTTTCACTGAGGGGCCCGGCCTTTCTGTCAGTGCAGAGTCTCTGGGTTGGAGCTCTGTGTTGGCTTTCTCACGTCAGTCTGGAAGATCTGTGATTCCCACTTCTGATCTCTTGAAAGCGAAGTGAAAACTTACGAAGCGTTTGGAAACCATCTAAGAACATAGTCTTTCTAGATTTTTGTGACTGTTTCTCCTACTCTTTCACAGCAGCCCCCTCCCCAGTTGTTACTCTGCCATTTGCTTGATTGGGTCATTCTAAATTATTTTAACTTAGTTTTCAAGAAAACAACTCTGTTCATATTCAGATTTCTCCAGATTATCTAATCTTTAAACAAAGTTCATAGTTTTAACATCACGTGCGGCAGGAATAAACAGGTTTAGGAACACACTCCTGGTAAACATACAACTCGACTAGTGGAAGGAGACGTGCCGAGGCACACCACCGAGCAGCCGGCCAGCCTGCGTGTTCGGCGGTGGGCGTCAGTCCATCTCAAGGAAGGACTGGAGTGTTGCTTAATCCAGGGAGTCAGGAGAAGGTGGGTACATCCGTGTCGAGTCTGACTAGGTTGTGAGGGTGGAAGTGTGGGTATTCAGGTGAGAAACAGGCAGGGTCTTTTCATGTAGACCCCTGTATGTCAGTTTAAAGTGGGGCCCCTCAGAATATGGTCTCTGGACCACCAGTGTCAGAATCACCTGGGAACTCATTAGAAATACAAGTCCTCGGGCCCCAAATCACATTCCCAGATCTCCCGAATCAGAAACTCTGGGATGAGGCCTTTAAATCTGTGCTGTAACACGCCCTCCAAGTGATTCTGATACACGCGCAGGCTTTAGAACTGCTGCGAGAAGGGGTCAGGCCGTTCCTCTACATGACAAGGAATCACTGAAGGACCCTAGTAACGGAGCAGCCTGAATTGTGGCCGTCTTGGTTGTGTTACGGAGAATCCAGGTTGCTAGCTCAGCTCACCCATGTTCATAGTTTCCATGAGACATTCCAAAAAATCTCTTTTGCATTCTTGAAAATGGTTAATTGCTTCCTTCATTTGCCTATAATTAGTACGAGCTTACTATGCATCAAGCATTGTCCTGAGTACCTGGAATACATCCATGAACAAAGCAGACAAAAATCTCAGCCCTCATGGGGTGAGACGAGGGAGGAGACGAATAAGAGACAAAATTGACGACCAGTGTGTCAATCAGTGATATAAGTGCTGAGGAGAGAAAGGAGGCCACGCAGAAGGATCGGGGGCGCTGGGCGGCGGGGGGATTACAACTGTAAATAGTTCACGAAGGAGGTGAGAGAGAGTTCCATGCAAATATTTGAGGAAAGCTTTCCTAGAAGAGGGAAGGACCAACACAGAGGGATGAGGAGCTGAAGGGCAGGGGCCTGGCGCCGAGCCAGCGAGGATAGAGTCCTAGTTTCCACGGTGTTCTGCTGACATTCAGCCACCTGGCTTTAATATAAACCACAAGTCTAGCCAGAGAGACAACAGACCATATGTGTTCTGGTGTAAATAGAGCGTTCAGTGAGATGTTCTCGCTCAGTACTATATACTGAGCACGCCTGTGCCCGAGCCACCACATAGCCAGTGTAAGTAGGGCCCTGATGCTGTACAGCCCAGTACAGAGTCCCTCCTTCTCCTGTCTAGAGGGGAGACAAGCATAACGACCAGGGTGATGCTCATCACCCAAGGGATAGTACAGGGTACGAAGGCTGCCAGCTCAGGTGCATCTGCTGTAACCTCCTCAGGGGTGTCAGGGAGGGCTTCCTGGAGGAAGTTCTATTTCACCCAAGGCTAGGACAGTGAATGGGACTGGGTCAGAATGAGTGAGGTGAAGAGGAGCTTCCAGGCAAAGAATGACGGCCTGTGCACAGCCCTAGAGATAATGGTGCATGTGGCCCAAAGCAGACCTGAAAAAGGGCACATGGGAGAGAGCAGGGAGTGGAGGCTGAGGAGCCGAGGGCTCATGCTTACAGACCCTAAAAGGTTAAGGGCAACAGAAAAGCACTGAACGGCTGTCACGTAGGTGACTGGCATAATTCATGTGGGGGTGTTAAAAGCTCAAGTATCTTATCCAGAAAGTGAATGTAAAAAATAATATATCCAGAGGTCCCGGTGTCATCAAATTCTTCTGGACCCCGTACCTGCTAAATACATCATCGAGTATTCTGTAGGGGTGGAGCGGGTGGCCGACAGCAGAGCCAACACATTTCATGTGTTTTGTCTCTAAATAGCTGAATACTTAATACATATCCCCAGACAGTTCGCACAGCTGTACGCAGTGCCCGTGTGGCAGCCTGACAGCAGCAGGCTGTTTGTATTGTCAGGCCCACACCTCTTGTGCTGGCCGTGTGTAAATGCTGGCGGCGGTGCTGGTGTAAGCAGGTGTAAACCAATACAGAGCGAAACGTATCAGAAATAGGAGAGTTGATACTATTAAGACCACTCATTAGCCAAGCGAACAAAGAAATGCTCACCGAATCCACTGATTATGCCCCAAAGAGAGGGGTTAAATACCACATGCACTGGAATGATGGAAAGCGAATAGCACATTTAGAAACATAGGACCCTCTGGCCTATTTTAATTTGGATACGTGCTACTTGTTACCACCACCAAGGAATGAGGCTTAACAAGGAACCTAATAAATTAATGTGAGGCTCCCCACAACATCTAAACATCGGGTTATTAATAAAAATACCATATAAAGGGGGGAAAAGGGACCAAACCTCCAGTGACTGCAGGGCTTCATGGTACATATGCTACTTAAACATGTTTCGATGTATGTTTCTGCAGATACGCACTAATTCACATACAGCTCTTGGTAAAGCATCGACTTTTTCTGTGGCGCTGACTCTCTCACAGCCTGATGAGTTTCTTTGAGAGAAAAGGAGCAGCTCAATCTAGCTCCGCGGTGCTCTGTGCGAGTTGCTTTCCTCCATACAAACCCTCACTTCAAAGCCGGGAACATAATGTACAATTTTTTAATGGCTCTAGACCCAGGCACTCAGGCGCTCTGCTCTGCGCCTTACCTCAGTGTAAACACCTCATCAAGACGGCCCGCACTCCAACAATAGCAGCTAAATGCAATTCGAGAACCACAAGCCTTTGAAGTCCGCCCAGCAAAGGCCGGTTTTCCAGTCTGGGATAATGACGCACCGTGATTGCTGTCTTTGTTGTGTCTTTTCGGTAGAGAAGCAATTATAGGCCCCAATTTAACAGAATAGACATTACACAGCTTATGATGCTCAAAATGCAATTTCATTTGATCATTTTCTCGATTTGATTGGTATTAATAGAATGGTTCACCAAGGGGAAAAAAAAGGAATGGCTGGCAGAGGTTGTGTCCCATTTCACTTTCAAAGAGATAATGTAGAAGTATGTTTCACTCACCCAGGGCCTCACCGTGGGTGATTCAGATACTGAGTTCCACCAACACAGCCTGTGGATGGAAACACTGTGCATCCTGCATTCTCTAGGGAAGGAAGTGAGGGACGGTGTGTTTTTCCTCTGTCAACTTTTTATCAGAGCTATATAAGGAACCCCATCACTGTTAATCAAACAATTAACATCACTCGTGAAAAACCAATTCACAGAACGAAGGCTCCTTCACAAAAGGCAGGGAATCAAACCTTCTAGTGGCATATCTAGGAATCAACCCAACTTCTCTTCTCCCAGGCTCCAGACAGCAGCTTGTCCAAGACACTGGGTGTTTGAGGTTTGAAAAAAGGATTATTTCCTCTCCTGCTTAAGCAGCCTATTTAGATTTTTTTTTCTTTCCTGTCCTGACCTTCATTTCTCCTTCAGGACAGAATTGAGTTTTCTTTTAAATGAATTGTGTTCCTGTTTAACATCATGGCAATAAGGGATTGAAGCCTTTGAGAAAATGATGACCAGAATTGTAAAACCTAATGTTTTCGTAGTCATCCAGGGTTTCTCGAACCAGTGAGGGGCTGAGAGATGGAAACATGAGCAGAATCATTCCTTGACCTTGATAGCACCGGTAGCTCTACACTTCCCATTCCAGCACAACTTAAATTGTTCCATGGTGTTGTGAAGTTTTCCATTTGCCAAGTAGGTAATCTCAAAACCCGTTGATTACTTAACATTTGTAATCCAAAAATTCCATGATCCAACAGTACACTTTGTTCCTTGTCTTAGCCGGGACAACTCAAATGTGAAAAAGGTTTATTTTCATTTTTTTCTCATTTTCAGATCAACCTGTAGGTATTGAAACTTTCACACTGTCTATTTGCCTCATCTGTACGTATGAATATGGTAATTGTGATAGGTG